TTTTTTTAATATTTTGAAGAGAAGATGGTGGCTTTCAGGCTATGTTGAGAGTAAAGACTAGAGGCTGTGGAGGAAAAATAGTCAAGAGTGAGGGGTGTGAGTGTAAATTGTTTCAACGTTTCTGAGGGGAATTTTGATAGCGGGTATCAAGAGCCTTTTAATTTCAATCTTGTAATTTTACTTCTAGAATTTTATCCTAGGAAAGTAGTAAGAGGTGTATACAAAGATTTATCAATCAGAATATTACCTATGACATTTTTGTTTTTAAAAGAATTCACAAGTCCAGTTCAAATTCAAGTAGAAGGAAAATAGAATCCGTTTCTTGGTAGAAGGAGAGACAAATGTGTACAGGAAGGGGAGGAATTTTGCTGGCCATCTTTGGCCATGTTTTATAAAAATATCTTATGGCATAATGTTGAGTAGAAAAAGGAGATGATGTTAGGAATAAAACATTGAGAAAAAAATAGTACAAGATTTGTGTAGGGTATAATACTAATTTTGTCTAAAATTATACACACACGTAAAAGGAATTGAAAGTGACAGTATCAACTTATTAACAGAGATTGTCCCTGATTAACAAAATTGAGAGTATTTTCACTTTCTTCTGTATACATATTTGTATTTTAAACTTTTCTATAATCATCTATTAGTTGTTTTAAAAATTAAGAAAACTAATTGTTTATTAGACCATAGAAAGTCCAGACAAATTTCAAAGATTAGAAGAAACGTGTTATATTCTGTGATCTCAATGCCATTAAATTAGGACTACAAGATTTTAGCCAAAAACTTATATCCACTTTGACATTTAAATATATCCTGAGTATTCCCTGGGATAGAAAAAGTTTGAAAAGAAAAATAGCAAGCTATTTACAAAAGAGTTCTATACTTAATCATGCAGCGAATGTGTATAACCTTACATGCATTCATCAGAACATATGATTGAAGATCAATGAACATTTAATGCAAAAAGGTGAAAGTAACACAACACAAATGTAATGGAAATTATTATTAAGGATAAAGAGATATTGATGAAATGGAAGTAAAATGTGTCAGTAAAACAAAAAAAAATCTTTAAAACACTGAAAAATAGATGAACATTTGTCATACTGTCATCAAGAGAAAGAGAAAAATACAAACATTAGGAATGAGATGGAGACATAACTGAAAGAGTTTTTAAAATTTTAAGGAAAAGTTGTACAAAGCAATACTAGGAAGACTGAGAAATCTAGGTGAAACATACCGTTTCTGAAGAATCATTTTAATGATCATTGAAACAAAATGGGTAGTAAATCTGAGTAGATAAGTAAACATAGTAAAAAGTGGAAGAAATAATCAACAACCACGCCCATTTAATTTTATGGGTATGTTCTACAAACAGTTGAGGAATAGAGGTCTCATTATGTTAATTGTTCCAAAACATGTGAAAAATGGAAAGCTTTTCAGTCCATTCTTTGACACTAGCATATACCTGATACTAAACCCAAAAAAGGAGAATTCAAGAAAACATGTATTGTCCTTTAAATAAACATTATTTCAAAGTAGTTAATGTATCTGTGCATACTATATATTATGTGTATGTTGTGCATGTGTTTCCAGAAAGAGCAAATTCTACTTTTTGTTTGTTGATTATTGACGTTCTCCAAAGCCTCAGCCAACTGGGGCTGTTAAAATCACTGAAGATTAAATCTGTGTGGCTGTAAATGTTATTGTATTTGGATTGGGACCTAGCTAGAGACCTCAGAAATGTCTGCCTCTATATACAAGAGAAGACAGGGAAGGACAAGTTAGTTTTCATGATTTCTTCTTGGAAGTTACCTCTATAGTGGTGGCTGAACTAGGACCTAGATTCCTAGATTCTAAGCACAGCAAAAATAACAAATTCATTTAACTGTCAGAATTATAGAAGGTAAAACATATTTTCTTAAGTTGATAAGCCAAAAACACCTACTTTGAGAAAAAAGAAAAATCTCAAATAGACAACCTAGCTTTATACCTCAAGGAACTAGAGGAAGAACTAATCGCCAAGTTAGAAGTAGGAGGAAAATAACAAGAATCAGAGGAGAAATAAATGAAATAGAGATTAAAAAGATAATGGGCAAGATATTTATTATAGAAAATTTAGAACATGCAAATAAACAAAAGGAAGAAAATGAAAACTGTTTGGAACCCCACCGCTGTTAATATTTTGATGTGTGTTGTTCCAGTCTTCTCTGCAAGTTAGTGTGTATGTGTTTTACAATGTGAGTCAGCCATAAAAATGTTTTGTAGTCTCCCCCCACCCCACTGCTAGTATGTGATGAGCATATTTCTATCTCTTTAAATATTTGTGTAATGGTCACATTATGCCACTTACTATCTCTCTCATCATTTATGTAACTGAATTCCTAATTATTGGAAATGTTGATTCACTTTTTTTTACAGAACAGAATATTCATGCAAAAATCTTAGATATAAAGTGTTTTTATATATTTTCAAGTAAAACAAAATTAAGCTCTGAGCAATGTAAATATTTGAACCTAAGTTCCTTAGTTAGAAACAAGTGTATAATTCTTTGGAGGGACTTTTTAGGGAAAAGAGAAGCCTGTGTGGAAAATATTTCTTTATTCTGTATGTGAGGACTCTCTGGGGTATAAATGACAGATATCTTAACTAGAATTGAATGTAGCAAGAAAGGAAATTATGGGTGAATGTATCAGTTGTCCGTTGCCTAAGTCATGCTGCGAAACCACTAACTACAAAACACTAGTGACATACTAAGAAGTATTTATTTAGTCCTTCAGTGTATGGGACTCATTGGATCTCAGCTGGATTTGCTCATCCACCTGTGTTCAGCTGCTGGTTCGCTGGGCAGCTCTGCTGATCTTGGCTGGGCTTGCTCAAATGTCTCGGGGTTGGTTGGCTAATGGCTTGAACAAATTGACTCTATTTTATATTTCTCACCTTACAACAGGCTAGTCTAGGCATGTTCTAATTGCTATGGCAGGTGAAAACGAGCAAGAGGGTAAACACACAAGTGCTATTTTAGGCCTCTGCTTGCTTCACATTTGCTATAACTTTATTGACCAAAGCAAGTCACATGACTGAACCCAGAGTCAGACTGGGAGGGGACAGCCAAGGACTCAGGTACAAGAAAGAGTAAAGAATTGGGACTATTAATGTAGCCAGTCTACCTGGCATATGTAGCTAAAATGGCCTAGGGAATAGATGTAGCTTCAGTGATTGCTGGATACAGGCTATCAAGTGATGTCACCCAGTTTGATTTCACACTATTCAAAGTTTGGCTCTTTTTCCTTTGTGTTAGCTTCACTTTCAGAGAAGCATTTTCCACATGGTAGTACTCAGAAGCTCCAACTTGAAAGCAACTAATTTATGCTGAAAAAGAACGTATCTTTCCCAGTTGTTCCAGCTATAGTCATTATATGGAGTGTTTGGGGACCAATGTGGGTCACATGTCCATCCCTAAACTAGCTGCCATGTTGGGGGGATGGAATATGATAAATGGCTATGGCTGGGTCTGGGTCATGTTCTCACCATTGGTACCCTTCAGAGTGGAGCAGAGGGAGTCAGCCTTATTTCAGCCTAATGAACAATACAGGTAGAGAGTTGGGAACAATTTCTCTAAGGAAAATTATCAGAAGAGGTTGGGGTGGAGGGATACTGAATAATAGGCAGATAAAAATAAAAGATGCCTTATATAATGCTAGTAATGTACTTATTTCATTGACACTACCAACAAAAACTGTTGACTATTCTGTGCTAGGTATCAAACTGAGTGTTTTAAAAATATCATCTTACCTATTTCTCACAATACTATGTTAGGTGATTTTACCCACATTTTATTTATTGGAGAAAGGAAGCTCATAATAGTTAAATAATTTGTCTAAGATCACTCAGTTTATCAGTGTTAGACTGGGGATTTGAACCTTGGTTGACCCCTCTCCAAAATCTGTGCTCCTAGCATCTAAAACCTGAAGAAAAAGAAAGTACAGTAAACATAACCCAAGAGGAAGAGCAAGAGGCCATGATGACCCTATTAAGGCCATTTGGGTCCACTGAAGGGATAATCACAACCTTGTAGCCATGACTACATAAAATATGCACCAAAGTACTTGAGTAACCATGACAGTGAGCTTTTTCTCTGCAGGTTATAGGATCAGGAACTCTAACAGGGCATACTGTTTCCCTGTGCCATTTCTGTACAGTTATAGAGTGGATAATATGAATATTTAGGTCAGCTAAAATGGAGAAGAATTCTCAAAACACTAGCCTGAAAGGGATGTGTGAAAGGGGAAAGAAACAAGACTGTCATTTTCTCTGATGATAGCATTTAGGATCTGGCTATATGTGTAGGAGACTTCTTGGTTGAGCTTCCTCTTTTCTTCTAGCTCCAAAATGGGCAGTGGGTTACAACTCATGTGTCAATACTAGTTGATTGGTAAACCATCTAGAGTGTTGTATTGAGAAGAGTTCTGAATTTAGTGTAAAAGAGGGCTGTGATGGGTTAGTAATGTCTGTAATGGGTATAGGAAAGGAGAGTAGCAACCTGTTTGACTATTATTTGACATCCTAGGAGGCACCAGCTTCTTAGAGTCATTGTCAGGCACATGTGTATGGGGTCATGTCCCTTGGATGGAGTATCTCATAGCTAAGGTCTCTATGAGAAGGAATTATATTGTGAATTTTCTGGAGGTCCCAGCCTTCATTTTGCACAAACCGAAATGCAAATCTTCATTTTCCTAAGGAAAAAGGAGCTTCTTTTTCAGTCTGCGAACTCTTGATCTTGCTTGGGAAAAGGGTTGGGGGAATTTACAAAGTGGTTACATATAGTAAGTAAAGTTTGGGGTTACTTTTTAAATAAACATGAATGTGACTCTGTCTATCATCTATCTATCATTATCATCACTGATCAATCATCTCTATATATTTTTAAAATATAATGCAGTTGTATTCAGAGTTCTAAGGAAACTTGTTTTTGATTATCTTCTTTCCTCATTTTTCAGATCTCTGGAGTCATTTTCTGGTACAGACTGTGAAAAGAATGCAGTGAAAATTCTGGGCAACAGTGGCTTAATTGGCTTAACCTCCAACTTAGTATAGCATTCCTTCTCTTCAGTAGTACCTCATAATACAGGAAAAATGTATGGAAGTGCAAGAACAATCACCAATCTGGAAGGCAGCCCTTCCAGATCTCCTCGTTTGCCAAGGTCTCCTCGTTTGGGCCACCGAAGAACAAGTAGTGGGGGAGGTGGAGGAACAGGCAAGACTCTGTCCATGGAAAATATCCAGTCCCTTAATGCAGCCTATGCTACATCTGGACCCATGTATCTGAGTGACCACGAGGGAGTGGCTTCAACAACTTACCCAAAGGGCACTATGACACTGGGAAGGGCCACAAATAGAGCTGTATATGGAGGCCGAGTCACAGCCATGGGGAGTAGTCCCAATATTGCTTCTGCTGGACTTTCCCACACAGATGTCCTTTCATACACGGATCAACATGGTGGTCTGACCAGCTCATCCCACCATCACCACCACCAGGTCCCCTCCATGTTGAGGCAGGTAAGGGATAGCACAATGTTAGACCTTCAAGCCCAGCTCAAGGAACTTCAGAGAGAGAATGACCTCCTCCGGAAAGAGCTAGACATCAAGGACAGCAAGTTGGGATCTTCCATGAACAGTATCAAGACCTTCTGGAGTCCCGAGCTCAAAAAGGAGAGAGTCTTAAGGAAAGAAGAGGCAGCCAGGATGTCTGTCCTCAAGGAGCAGATGAGGGTTTCCCATGAAGAAAATCAGGTAGGTTATGACCCATCTTAGTGTTTTTCAGCCTTGACTTCTCACTGAGTAGTTGATGCTTTGCAGATGGTACCACGGCCTGTGCAGAAGAAAGTCTGGCATTACCAAGAAGGCTATGTCTTAGTATGTGTTTGACTTGGAGACTGCAAGAGGGCATAGGGAATACATGGTTACAGCTTGTGATCACCTTATTTTCCAATAGTCTTTTCACACTGTTGAGGAGAAGGGGGATCACTCCTCATCTGCTAACTTTTATACTTGGTTAATTTTGTTTTCTTTTTCAACAGTTACAACAGCAGCTCAGATGTACTTCCCTCTGAATAGAAGAGGAAAATGTTAATTTTTGCAAGAGTAGACAACAGGAACATTTAAAAGGCCACATTTGACTGGTGAATTGTATTTTTTTTTAAGCACAAGCAATTTTATTTCCTTCTAGAATGAGAGGATTTTGTTTACTAAATAGCAAACTGAACATTATTAAATGGGATTGGGTGGGATAGGTTTAATATCATGCTAAAGAAACATAATCCATTTTAACCTGGTCTTTCTACCTTTATCCATTCAATGTTTATTAAGCATCTGCTATATGCAAGACACCTTCTTACTCTTCTTTGATCCATCTTCCATGTCATAGCAAGATTAGTTTTCCAAGGGTCTAACTGCAGTTATGCCATTGCCCTGCTTTAAAGCCCTCAATAATTACTCATTACCTCCAGACTGAAGTCTACCTCTGGTTGATCCTACAATACCTTCTATGGGGAGGCCTGAGCCACCTTTCTAGCCTTATCTCATACCCACCTCCTTCTACATCGCCTGTGCTACCATTTGGTAATCCCTTCACATACTCAGGGTTTCTCACCTCCATTCCTTTCTGTTCCCCTCCATTAGTGGCCTTCTCAGCATCCCCTATCTCTCCCTCTTTCTTTTAAGTCTCAGCCATTCTCCATTTTCAAATCCTACCCATTCTGTGAAGCTCATTTATATGCTGCTGTTCATAGAGGCTTTGGAGTAAGACATGCTTGGGTTTAAGTCCTAGCTTCACCTCTTATTAGTAGTGAGATAAATGCTAAGAGATGGGGAGTAGAGGGCGTTGTGCCATTTGGCTGCAGAAATGCCCAGATATCATTCAACTTTCTGTAGAAATTTGAGATAATTCTAATTTGGCTGAATGAGTGATTCTCTGATAATTGGTCTTGATGCTGGCCTAATGAAGCTCTCTGCCTTTCTTGGGGTCATCTGCTGACCTCCTGTCTGTTTCCTTGGCTGCCACCCCTTTAGAGTCCAAGTGCCTGTAGAAGCATTTCTCATCTGTATGAGAATCTGCTCTTCGTTCTTTTTCTGTGTGTGGAAAGCGATCACCTTTCCCTTTGATTATCTGACAGGGCCTTTGCTGTTTTTCAGATGTAGTAATGTGATTTTTAGTTGGAACAGAAAGCTTTGTTCTTCATTCCTGAATCAAATTAATGCCCTTTACTATTGTTTCTGCTCTCTTCTGACTTTACTGGTTTATGAAGTCCTGTTATTGCTGTGTGCATTTCCCCAGTTCTGTACTAGTTTTCTTCCTTTTCTAGTTGTTTTGGAAAATGGTTAAAGCAGTCTAGGAATGATGCAAATAGTGACAAAAAATTGGAAACCATTTTTAAAACTGTCAGTTCCAAAATGACTTTTGTCTTATGCTTCTATCATTAATTTTTTTTTAGCATAGACCCCCTGCTTATACATGTATATTTATAAATTACATGATATGCTACTATGCCAAAATATTATGTCTTCTATGACTTTCAGAAAGAATTAAATATGAAAGAGATATAGTAAAATAAATAATTTATTGAAGTAAATTTTAATGACACATAAACCTTTATGCTGTTACAAAAAATATTTTAAGCCCCTTATCTACTTTATAAGGGTTAGTTCAGTTTAAATTAGGTAATATCCGTAATTCCACTTAACTGTCCTGTGTTGCCTTAAGCCAGAAGCAAGTGAATACTTGAGGGTGTGCCCATTACCTCTTCCTTATTCTAGAGCCTACTAAGATCACAGGCTACCTTGGGCACTGAGGGTGACATTTGACTATGTGATGTATGACCCAGAGAAAGCCCGGGTCTTAATCAGTATATTAAATATAAGTAAACTGTAATTGTTTTCTTTTTTAGGGTAAAAATATAAAAGAAAGAAGCATGGAGATTTTGAAAAGTCAATTTACTTGCAATATGAGGTAATATTACAAAGTAAAGAATATAAAGATTGACAAAAAGCAAGTTATTTAAAACAAAATTGAAGCACTCCTCTTCTCCTGCTTGGAAGTATCAAGATTCCTTTTAGGGGTGTACAAATACCTATTGGTCAGACTAGGGTAGATCCTGCTGCAGTAATCAACAAACCTCAAATCTCAATGTATTAACACATCAGAGATTTATTTCTTATTTGTCTGAAGTATGAAGCAGGTCAAGTGACTCTCCAGGGTAGCTCTCCTCCAGTCAGTGACTCAGGATCCAGGTTTTCTACATCTTGGCATGTAACTTCAAGAATTTCTACAGGAGAGGAAGAGAGTGCCTAGAGATGGCAGATTGGTTCCTCCATTCCTTGGACTGGAAGTGACACAATTGTAAGGGGATGTGAGGTGTAGTCTACTCTTCTTTCCAGGAAGGAGAGGAGAATCAGGTATAAGGGGGCACTAGAAATTGCTACCAGTGGGGTTTTTATGTTTGTCAGAAAGTTAGACTAGATAAAATCAAGTCTGGGAACAATCCAGACTTTGCTTTCCTGCTGTTTGTATTACTACTGGTATTGCTACAAGTAGCTATCTGTTGGGGGCTTACTCTGTGGTAGGCATTGTGCTGAGAGCTTTGTGTACATTATCTTATTTAGTGTTTGCATCAATAAACTGAGGTAGGCGCTAGACTTTTTCTCATTTTATAGATTAAAAATAAATGTAGAGAGAATAAGCAGCTTGCCCAAGTTCACACAGCTGGTAAGTGACAAAGCTGGGCTTTAAGCATTTGGTCTATTTTATGCCAATATCTAAGATCTTAACTTTATGCTCACTACCTCCTTATAGGATTGCTGAGCTGTGAATAGAATCTTAGCATAATAGGAAGATCATACTTCATATGTTAGATTAAAAAAATGACTAGGTTTGATAGAATTAATAAGAATGTAATTTAGTTTAATTAGGACTTTTATTCTTAATTAGGAATTTATTTATTTTTCCCAGAAATGACTGTTTAGGGTTTCTGCCATTTGCTATTTACCGTAACTTACTATACTTTCCCTTTAGAGGAAAAATCACGAAAACTTTTTCTATGTGGAAGAAAAGAATGTAAAAGAGATAAAGGACACTTGATTATGGTTTTATATCCACAACAACCAGAGACTGCATCTGCAAGTGTAGTTCTACCAGAGGGTGTTTGGATAATTAGAATTTCACTAAGTTATATTCAGATGATCTAAAACAATCTGAATTGTGCTATGTGGACAAAAATGGGAAGCAGGTCTATTACAGGGTGGAGGTGAGAAGCTTATATGTTCTTGTATATGAAATTCATAATTCTATAGACTAAATGACCACTAACACAGACCTTTCACCCTTATGTGCTGTGTTATAGAGGGCTGCCATTCATCAATTCCTTGGTGGTATATTTTGAAGTGCTTGTGTTCTGTCCTAGGGAGCTGATCCAACTTCAGATCTAAGGGAGGATGTTGAACACCCTCCCTGTGTTACAGGAAGTGCAGACTTTTTGGAACCTTGGAGCCAATGGGGAGGTGGCTGTGACCAAATTTCTTATGTATAAAGGATGGATACTCAGGTTCCTGGATAGAGATTCCACCCCAGACACCCTCCTCATTCTTACTCCCTAGGTTCTCTCCAAGCTTACTTTTCAGCCACACAGGGCTGCATGTACAGAAATACATTTGGGATACTGAGTGCAGTACTCAGGTCTGAAATCTTTGGCTTATTTGTAGAAACCAGAGTGCATGGATGCAGAATTATCCTGTGCTGTCACTTGTGCTTTTTGCTTCATGGTGTACTTTCTTAAATGTAGGAAGAGTAGGGTGGAGTATTATGGACAGCTAATCCTTTGGAATGGCATGAACCCATAGTCCATGCTCTCAATGTCACACTGTAACTGATTTGGGGAGAGTTGAGGAGAAAGATTTAGAATGGATATTCGACTGCTACTTGAGGAAGTCCCCTTATTATCTTTAATGGCCTGGGGTGTTAAGGTAGATGTTGGGGGCACAAGAATGCAACTACATATGGAGTTGTAAAGTGACCTAATTTTCTCCAAAAGGTTACATGGTTGTCTTTTCTTTACCACTCCATTCTGTATACCTGTATGATGAAGATTAGAGAGAGAAAACATGGTTGAGGATACATTTTCAGAAAGTTCATAAGTTCTTGCTGTTTGGTGCATGTAAAGTTATTGAATTTCATATTCTGGGATTTTTTGTGCAATTATTAACTTTGTATTTTTAATGGATTATTTTTTTCCAAATTAGATGTACATAAAGCAGTTTTTTGATATTTTCCTAATTTGAGCATGGATAGTCAAGGATCTGCATGAATATAAATAGCATCACACTCTGGGAGACTGTACTAGATCTAATATTTACCCATCTCGTGTGTGCAGAAGTGGGACAAGGTCATTGGGAAATGTAACCTAAGAATTGTAAGTAAACCTGTCTGGGGAATGTTATGGCTTTTAATGGTTATGTGATAATTTCTATTTCTGGCTTAACACAATAGAAAATAATCTACTCTAAATCAATATTAATATGGGTTTTTGATGAGTTTTTAAGCTAGTTTCCCAAATGATTTTTTGATTCTAATTTTGAGTCTGTAACTTGAAAAGGTCAAGATGGATCACATTTCTGTGTTTCCTTTATTATTCTTTTTTCTTTTTTTTTGTATAACTGCAGGGCCATTTCACTAGAGGTCATTCAACTTTGTTTTAAAATACTCATTTCATTTTGAGTGTTGACATATGAAGAGTTGTACC